ACAACCTTTGTCTTCCCATTATGTAGCGTAACTTTCATTTTGATCTCGTCAATAGCCAGATATATGAATTGGAATTCACCATCTTCAGTTGAAGACATAAAGTTTAAAAATGTAAATAAAGATATGAATCCAGCCCAACTCAACGTATATTCAGCATTCGATATATTTATAGCCCTCCGTATACGTTTCGGTGCCTGTGCAACATTTTTCCAACGCAATTGCTGTCACCAACTAAATATAAAAATGTGTTTTTAGTACTTATTAACTTTTATGTATTTAACTTCATTTCACAGAAAGTGTATTTTGTACATATATCAAAATACATAAATACATGATGTGAAAAGCCTCGGACTGTTGGACACAAGGGTTGCCATGGCGACAGTAAAAATACTCTACAGAGTGAGAACTAAATATTTACACATAGCGGAATCGCGGGTAGCCGAGATAGGCGGCTCTAAGAATGTTCGATTTGGAAAAGCTATATTTTTAATAATTTATGTATGTTATTGCTTATTTTCGATATCATATCTTTTTTTTTAACCGAAGAGGGAGATCGAGCTAGCCAAGGCACACAAACTTAGTATACATTCATGTACATAGTACACCACACCGATACGGTCGAGACAGGCGTGAGTCATGACCTACACCTCCGTAAGCGGTCATACTTAAGCTGTTACGATGCAAAATACAAAGAACATCAGTGTACACGCTTTGCAAACTTCTCTGTAGCCAGGATACGAGCGGGTGAGAATGTCACTCCGCACTCACACAAGGATATGCATGAATTTTTTTTAGTGCAGAGAGGTACCTTGGATTTAAAGATAAATGGTGGAGAAATGGGGGTGTATACACTTCATAGGCACGATCTGATACATATAGCACCTGGTGAACTGCACGAACTATCTAATCCGAAACCACAGAAGGACTCGTACGTAAAGTGGGGTGAGGAAGGTTATACAGAAACAATGACCTCGCCACCATCTGATAATGTGCCAATGTTTGACTATGAGGACGATGATCTCGCTGTGTACTACTTTGGGTTTGTCGAGGAGGAGTTGGGCGGGTCCACTGGTCAGGTGTACAGCAGTCGAGAGCTGAAAAACAGCACCGGAATCGAGCCACAGACGCCGCGCCTCAAGAGTATTCGCGTCATAGAACTTGATGGCGCCGAACATTGTATGAGTAGTATGGGTATTGCGAACAGTATGAATCTGCGAGAGATGCACAACTACTTACCGGGCGACGGGACCACTGACTATTGTGTCGGAGTCGTGCTTTCTGGTAAGGGAGAGATAGTGTGCAACGAAGATGGGAATGAACGACGAGATTTCATTGTTCCCGGGTCGCTGTTTGCGTGTTCTCTGAGTGATGCTTGCGACGCGCACATCCAAACGACTGAAAAACACGCCAGTCTCAGCGTACTTGCCGTAGTTTGCAGGCGCTGAAGGTTGCGACTTGCCTTTAAATACTGCCGTATGGTAGACACATAGCCATATTCAGATCTGGATATGTCTAGAACTCCAACTTCAAATCAGAACCATCATGTGTCGGATTTGAAAAGTTTGCGATGAAACTCCATACCAACACCAACAGCTCTACGTAAATATGCCAACTAGGTCGAGATTTCGGCCGCAGCATGTACGTACTTTCTTGGGCTCTGTATATGCGCTATTCAGTATCAATTCAAATCGACCATCGGGTTACCCTGCGCTGAGAGATATTGTCGGAACAGCTGAGAATACACATGGCCAAGCACTCAATAGGTTTGCACACTGCGCCGGAAAAATCCCAAGAATGTATGTTCCAACACTATGTGCATGTAGCATCAAACCGGTGGTATATAAGAGCATGCAGTGATGGTGTGACCACAAAGTAGATCATTTCTATCCGCGGAAGGATAACGGTGTGCTACTCTTTTGCTTTGTACAAAAGTTCGCGTACATATGAGCTCGAGTTATTTTAGTTAATAAACTCCGGCAACTCTTCTGTATTCAATTTTATTGCATCCAATTTACAATGTATCGTAATGGCTATGCCTTCATTCCGATGGATGAATTATTGTATGTGTCATACAGTAAGTAGTACTAATCATCACCATGTCGCTCCAAGAATTCTATCGTACTGAGCAGATGAATATCGGAGTCGATTAGATTGGGCGTACTTAATCTATGGACTATCAGCTTGTCAACATCTGTCAATACCAGATCAAAATGTCTTATGCAATGAACACACACCTATACTGATTGGAACGAGACCCGACTGAACGTACACTGGGAAAAATTGAAAACCTGGAATAATCCGATCGAATATATGCCGTGGCAAATTCTGCCAATTCAATACCATTGCGAGTATTTGCAAACGCAGGACACTTTGTTGCCTTTGTATATAGATACGCGTTGCTCTTGCATTTTCAATCTTATTAGTCATAAGAGTGCACTGCCATCAGCATTCCAATCTCAGATTCTTTGTCCAAAGCAAATAGTATGTGTGCTCTCCTGTTGCACCGATCTTAAGTCGGAGAAGTCAGCGACGATGCTTGCCCCAGTCGTTATACTTCAACGGAATTGTTCACCCTAGCTTATGCAATGTCGCGTCTACTCAACTCGGGATAGAACTATCACTGTGAATTCATACGGCTATGCAAATCCACCTGTCGACCAGAATGAGATCATATGCATTCATACTGCTTTAAACTATTTAAGCGTTATAGCTCCCCGCTTGTGCGCTTAACGTCCGTACAGTCGTAGGCAGGCTGGCGATCACTATTACAAGCTATTGCAGTCCACTTCCAGCCTTTGATGCACATACTGTCAAACAAGTGAAACATTGCTTCCACCTCATTCTAGCAGCACCTACCTATCGACTGCGATGGTAGACTATATAGGTGACTACAACTTTACGAACTAGACTCGCTTGCACTGCAGAAGAAATGCACAGCAGCTAAACCCTTGCATATAGTTTGAAGTACGACCGCGTGAAACAGCCACATATCTGATTTTGCAATCCTCCCGAAGTACGAAGACATAGGGTAGTATTATCGTACCGCAATTAGGTATACTTGTATACCAGATAGTCTTATTTGCGCCCGTATCGCCTATTCTGTTCCTCTTGTCGCGCTTCGTGCTCGAGAGGAGAGAAACTGAGCTGATTCATCAGGTAGTCCATCTTGCTTTTTACATACTCCTTCCTACTGGGGTCGATGAGAATGTGTGTTTCATCCAGTTCTGAGTTGATTATAAACTTGGTACCTTCTTTCTCATTGACCCAGATTAAGTACTCCTTCATTGCTGCATCGCTGGTTATGTGAGTGTGAGGAAATTAGTGTTCAGTAGACAACAGATGTTCACAAGTGCAACCAAAAGATATTGTTTTCGTAAAGTTATGCGAAAACTGAGGTAGGAATCAGTAGAATACTATAGAAAAGTACAATAAATATATATATATATATATAACTGGACGCAAAATCTGCACGTATAACATTTGCTTTCTCCCCGCAATGAACTAGAACTTGAATAATATTTACGAGATAGTGAGAAAAACGAAGTTACTGAGAAGGTAGAATAGCGTCCGAGAATAGCGGATTCTCAAAAACTGAAGAAAAGAAAATATATGAGTGTAAGCATATGTTGTTTTCGCATGCGAGTTCAAATAGAACCATACGCGATTCGTATTCCAGGGTCACGCGGTTGTTAAGCGCATATGTACAACTGTATATTCGTTGACAACAAGAGTCTGTATCTGAAAAGCGAGGTACATGTACTTGTATGAACGGTTCAGGCGTGAACACCGACTTTTTATATATAGATATTCTCGGCTATAACTGCAACTCAATTTGCATACTCCCATACATGAGCATGTACGATTTAAAACAGCGCGCGTGGTTTTAACTAAGTAAACAGGGATTGAATAGCACATAAATCATCCTCCACATACCATTGATTCGTTAATTGCCCGCAGTCATGCAATAAGTAATAATTAATTCCTATATTAAATAATAGAGTCTTGGGAATATCTTCTAGAAGACTACCCCGAGATTCCAATACAACACGACTCGTTTCTTGAAACAACTGTTCAGGTATCGCATCAAGCCCGGCCATAGGCAAAGCGACTCAAAATGCACACGAGCATACGCTACTGACATGATATGCCCGGGGAATAGACTCGAACATATCGTTCATTTATTGAACGTGTTGAGTTCAAAGTTTTTGCGTGGTATTTGAGTGTCGTATACAAGGTACACATAAGTGTACATACGTTTGATTTAACCTTCAGATATATTGCGAAGCAAACAGAAGATTCGTTCTGACATACCACTCCACCAGCATGCCCTTGAAACAGCCGAATGATGACATCTTGGCGGATTTTTCTTCTTCGCTTGACTGAATACAGCGACATTAACAGGGCAGTGCTGTTGTAGAGCATCTGGACCATCAAATTTATATATAATATTTACTTTTGTGCTCGTATGCGAGAGATAAAATTCCCAAGATTTCAATGACCGAAGTACCGAACATGCGTCAAATATCAATTCGTTTAGCACTCATGTAGTAAACGTTGAGCGTAATCGCAAAACTGGGGCAATTTATACGTTTTAACGCAACAGGTTACTCGATAATTACCTCCAGTTGCAATCCCGATGTCCGATGATACTGTATTGTATAACATTAGCGTTTATTTATCTTCACGCAGCAATGATTGATTTTAAAGCGTTTCAACGAGAAACGAATATGCAAGAGCTTTTGGTCGACATGTCCAGAATATTTTGGCGAAAAGCCCTTCAAAACACTGAACTACAAATATAAAGGAGAAGCAGATCACACACACACAAAGCAAGAATATATATAACACCTGTAACATTGGTATGGGGTACTATCAGGAACGCGATCACGGTGAACCGACGCACGAGCGGGATCGGGGACGTGGGCGTGATTATGGCGATCGTAGCCAGGGCAGCGATTATGGGCGTGGCGGCGATGATCGCAGACATGACAGACAAGGGTATGGTGGCAATGAATACGGCCGATCCCTTGACGGAGGGGGTTACGGAGGGGGTTACGAACATGGGGGTGGGGGCAGGGGAAGAGGTATGGATATGTTCCAGATGGCACCCGCTATGAAACAAGAAAGAGCATTGAAACGTGCACGATTGAGCGAGCACTATGTGTCTGGGGTGTGGAGAAGATCGCCGTCCCCGCCGGGATGGGCTAAGAAAGAGGCTAAAAAAGATCGGGAGATAGGCTCAGGTAAAGGAGAAAAATTAGAGCTGAGCAGAGCGAAAGCGAAGCAAATGGCAGATGCGATAAGCAATAGCAAAAAGAAGCTCAGCAAAAGTCAGAGATCGAGTGAGAATGCAAAGTCCAAAGATGAAAACAAGGCCAAGGGGGTTGGAGATGATGTCAGTGCGAGTGGAAGTACCAGTTCAGACGAGAGTTCCAGTGATTCTCAACACAGCGATGCGGAGGATGAATGGGAAGAGATGGTACCTGAGGTGGAGACTACACAAGCCGTAGGAGATGAGTTTGTAGGGCCGCTACCTGTAGAAAAGGGGGCACAAGCGCGCATGAAAAGTGGGTATGACAAACACATGTTGGCAGGTGAGGCTGATGCGATGGCTGCGTATATTGAGGAGGGTCAACGTATTCCCCGTCGTGGTGAGATTGGGTTGACTAGTGACGAGATCAGTAACTTTGAGAAGGATGGGTATGTGATGAGTGGGTCGCGACACAGGCGGATGGAGGCCGTGCGTCTGCGTAAGGAAAACCAGGTTTATACGGCCGATGAAAGACGGGCACTGGCGATGTTTAATTACGAAGAAAAGAAGAAGAAGGAAAATCAACTGTTGAGTGATCTGAGAGAGCAGGTGAACTCGAAGCTAAAGGAGACTCAGGATAGAAGTGCGTTTGATTAGCTGTATTGGTGTATGCGAACTTTCCCGTGGAGATTTGATACAAATACTATAGGAATTGCATCTCACATGCACTTATAAACATACATGTGATAGAGCTAAATTTAAAATTTGATGGCATTGGTGCTGATTGTTGAGCATGTGCTCGATAGATATCGAAATTCGAATATTTAGTTTGTGTCCACGGGAGGGACCGTATGGGATGATGCCAGAGACAGTGCGAATCTCTTTTTCGCGATAATCAACATATAATTGTACTGATAAAAACAAGTGTACAGGTACGGAGATAACTTTCAATGTTTTCTTATGGCATTGGTGTATAATTGTATGAAAAGCGACGTCTTGGAAAATATTGTGGTGTGTGCAATATGTACCAAAAATATTATGGATACTTGAGGATTCTTCCAGCACAATTGCTATTATGATGTGCTTCCCTTGTGAGATTCTGCATGCGCGCAAGAATTTCTGGGAAATCGGAATAGTTCATCGCTCGTTGTCCAATATAAGTGGTTCAGGGCAGATAGCACAAGAGAGCGGGGGGTGTGTGCAAGTGTTGCAACCGAGTGTCATTGGAGCCGAATTTTTCTTTTATACCTGCGTCGATTCCTGCGACTTGGGAAGTTTCAGTATTTAATGTTCCTGTGTATTTGAGAATAATGTTGTTACCGTAAGGGCTGTACTACAGATTTGAGGGCCGACGGGCGAGTAGTTAGGGGAAACAATCTACTTGCGTTTCAGTTACCTCCAGAAGTCCAATCGAGCGTTAGAGTTGTAGTCTGACATACGGGCTGTGGTCTTCGTCTATGATTGAAGTTCAATAATTAAACAGACTATGATACTCGAACGGATTTTTGTACCTCGTGATATATTTAAAAAAAATAAAAGCCGGGCTCCAATTGTGAACTGAGTTGGTGGGAGTGGTCAAGTGCCAATAAACGTGGTAAGATTTGCTGTGCTGCGCGCTCAGGTGATAAGTATCCATATTTGTTACTGGTGTTACCTATATTGGTCATGAAGATATTTATGGCAGTTTCGGGCAAGGAATCATCTGCGTGTACAGTTTAATTTTTGCGGATGTATATATATATTGCTCGTTTTTTGGGCGGCATAGTTCGGGATTGAATATGAAGTTCCATCTTCAATAGTTGTATCCATAAACTTGGCGGCAGAGAGCCAGAATCGACTACATACATACAATTGACGATAATGAGAACATTGAGTGATTGTACAACTACGCGTCCCACTGATATTCCATGTTATCGTTACAAATTAAACTTTTATGTAGTATAAATCTAGGACCTAAATATTGTTTTTTTGTTTGTGCTGAACTAATTATGAAGCTCAATCTCAGGCATCGAACTCTCTGACAAAAGGTTCAGGGCTGATTGCAACGACAAAAAAATATGATTTCAGCTGCCACAAGTTGTGGGCGCAATAGCAGTTCGTTATATGCTTAGATCAAACTGACGAAGGAGTAGTGCTAGTGCCACACATTCTCTGTGGTTTGAATCTGAGATTTAGTCTAAAAGCGAGCTACATAGTCGTTGTTGTCAGCGGGAATATACGATATTATTACAGTTTATACTATCGATATAAAGTATTCAGATTTCAGTTAAATTGGGAAGCATGTAGCACATAAGAATTGCTGATTCATGTATGATACCCTGCCCTTGTATTCCATAGTTGTGACGGCGAATGTGTATCAAAGTCTGTGAACATGTATTTTAAGGATCGTGATATTTTTTTAATAAAACATTGCCAGTCCAGCTGAGCAGGCCTCGGAGGCTCGGAGGCTCGGAGGCTCGGAGGCTCGGCCAAGAATATGTAAATATGTACAATAAAATTATAAACGCATTGTTGTACAATTCCCCGGATTGTAAAGCACTTCATCCTTGGAATTTGGATTCTTTCCTGTGGAACCGAAATGTGAAATGAGTAATGTACATCACTTATATAGATAAATTAACCAATGGAAATTTACTACATAAACGATACTATTTTTTATAGAATTTATACATACTCTTTTGGGTTGTGATCTTTTTGAAGTTATTTTTACATATATACACGTAGTAAAACTAAAGTTACAAGGTAACAAGTATTGATCACAATATGTACATGAGTGCAGGGGGGGGGGATGAGAAGGGTTCATATCGTGCAAAATGTATGGGTTCATGCCAATAAAGTAGCAACTATCTACAATATTTTCAGAGCACGGCAGTGATGAGGGAATCCAGTGCACTCCGTTCTATGCGGGGCCTGCTGCTATGGTTCTTTCTGCTGGTCGTCAACAGAGTCGTTGCGACCATCGATATTCCATACTCGGTGAGTTACAGAGTTATAGTCTCATAGATATAGAATCACATATCCCGTTGGATGCAACTTCAGCATGTAGAACTAATTTTTAATATGCTCTATTTGTACACAGTACCTACTATACTCGTAATTTAAAAAAAGAGCATGTACAAATAGCTTTGGGCTACTTTATATATATATATATATGTGTGTGTGTGTCTCTGTGTGTGTGCATCTTATATATATATATATATATATATATATATATATATATATATATATATATATATATATATATTATATATATATATATATATATATATATATATATATATATATATATATATATTAATATATATTATATTAGGTTTGTTGTGTGTGTGTGTTG